CTGTAATATCTCCATTCTACTCTCTGTTGTACCAGTATTGGTATCGGTGCATCCCTAACACTAGCGTAGCCAGAAAAGAGACTCTGGGTGTGCATCAGAAAAACTGGGTGTGCCACATTTAAAAAAACCCAACTCTGCATATCACTAACGTTACAGGATATACTGCGCTGATGTGTAAAACTATACTCGCCACATAACCATAAAACTATATAAAATATAATACCCTCAGGATCGCCAACAGTCATAACACAGTAGCTTTAATAGTGCCTGTAATAATACTGCCTATGAATGAAAATGCATTATTATTATTATTTTTTTTTTTTAATTAAAGAGAACGTAGAGAGGTCTAAGTTTAAGAATACGCTAGAAGTTACATTTTTTAAAATGTGTATTTGTTTTTTCTCTTTTTAACATTAACTTACAATAGTGAAAGACTTCTTCCCTCAGGTGGATTGCATATTTTCTTGCTTTGCTGAATGTTGTGCTCATGATCAATAATCACGTTGCTTGCATTCGCCCAATGATGTGTAAAACTATACTCGCCACATAACCATAAAACTATATAAAATATAATACACTCAGGATCGCCAACAGTCATAACACAGTAGCTTTAATAGTGCCTGTAATAATACTGCCTATGAATGAAAATGCATTATTATTATTATTTTTTTTTTTTAATTAAAGAGAACGTAGAGAGGTCTAAGTTTAAGAATACGCTAGAAGTTACATTTTTTAAAATGTGTATTTGTTTTTTCTCTTTTTAACATTAACTTACAATAGTGAAAGACTTCTTCCCTCAGGTGGATTGCATATTTTCTTGCTTTGCTGAATGTTGTGCTCATGATCAATAATCACGTTGCTTGCATTCGCCCAAACTGATTTGCTGAAATAAAAACGCGGTGTTTGTGTAAGTTTTACACATCAGCGCAGTATATTCTGTAACGTTAGTGATATGCAGAGTTGGGTTTTTTAAATGTGGCACACCCAGTTTTTCTGATGCACACCCAGAGTCTCTTTTCTGGCTACGCTAGTGTTAGGGATGCACCGATACCAATACTGGTACAACAGAGAGTAGAATGGAGATATTACAGATTAAGGATGTCTATGAAATACATGTAAGTAATTAATGAGTGACCAGCCGGCAGAGGATTCCGCTTTCTCTTAAAGCCTTCCTCGGAAGCCTATGGTCGCAAATTAAACAATGATTTGCGCAAAAAGAATGATCACTTATCAATTGAGAATCTGTTATTCATATAGTCTGGTGGTCATACGGCGTGTGCCTGCGAATACGGGACAAACTGTGTTCCGTTTAGCTTTCATACGGGATGCTTCTTTGATGCCTTAAATAAGGGAAGATTCCGTATTATACGGAACGGTTGGCAACCCTACCTGTTGATGCCGGGCTAGGGGAGGGAGAAACATCCTCATCCTCAGCCTTGTGTCCGGCCTTCTATCAAGCCGAGGTTTTTTACTAAAGAATTTAAGCAGGGAGCTCTGTGACATATTGCTAGCTAACAATTACTCGAAGATTCTCTGTTTAGAATGCGCGGCAAAAGCCTCTCAAGATGCTGGGGTCAAAAGTCACAGTCAGCGGCTGTTTGCGGATTGGTTGGCAGTCCGAATGTCGGCAGATTTTTTTTTTTTTTTACAAAAATCATTTAAAATTTAAATTACATTCTAAATTAACAAATATTGTATGTAAACAACAATAGGCCAAGTTTAGAAAAAAAAACATTTGTATTTTAAGAAAAATTATTCTGCATCTATTTTTACCCTGGCATATCCGTGGCTACGCCACTGATCCCTAATCACAAGCATTACCATTGTGAAAAGGCATAGGTGGTATTTAATGTATCAATTACTAATTAAAGGTTTGATGTTTGCAGCTTTGATTTTTTAGCTTAGTATCATCTTCATGTTAGAACTAATGATTCTGGTAATAATCTTGTGATCAGTGATCTTTTAAAGCATGAGGATGTCACATCCTTAGGAGGTGAGTGAGCCAATGAGGAATCTTTACTTCATGTAACACATAAACATTACCATATTATACATATAAGTATACTCCCTCTCTCTCTTTCTCTCTCTCTCTCTCTCTCTCTCTGTTTCAAACTGTCTCTAAAATTCCTTTGGGTTGTAAAATGGTCTTATCTTGCTTATGTGTTTTTGCTGCTATGGAAACCAGAGGCCTGGTTCTGGATCTGTGTGTTCGTTGCCGTTTGGGGTTTGTTCCACTGACACTCAGGCACTACAAATAAGTTATATTTTTGAGCAGAGTAATCGGAGGCAACGTATACACTGCAGCTAAATTTGGTTGTCAATTCACAGTTTAGTGCTCAATCATGTTCTTTACACACACAGTTCAGTAATTTACGGGAGTGACAACCACATTCTGCAAACTGAATTGACTCCCGAAAAATGCAGGTAGTGACAGACACATTTGCATAAATGATATGCTGTTTCTAATGTAAGTTCTGTTCCGTACACACAAAACTGTAGTTTAGGGGATTCACTCCGTAGCCCCACCCACTGTGAAATATAACTGATCAGAAATCCTCTTATCTGTGTGTTAAACATCAAATATTATCTGATTAATTGTAATTGTCTTGCAGCAGTTTCATGTTCAATGTGGACAGACAAATTGTTTGCTGTTGGAATTGCTAGACGAGATATGCCGATGATAATTAGAAATTGGTGAAGTTTGATGGTCAGTCCTATAAAAAAATTGTCACCTGTCTTCTGCTATGGCATGTTGTTTTAGTAAACATGGGAATGGTTTTGATTAGCGCACAATGCAATTAGAGCACTCATGATGCGTTTGATTGCTTTATTGGGTGCATTGACCTGCCTAACTATCTTTCTTTGTCTCAACTGTCATAAGTGCACAGAGATTGTCATCCCATGTCATTTTCCTTTCAATCCGACAATTAGAACTGCAGCTACGAGGGAGACAGCGAGGAGAGAGAATGAAACAAAGACAGAAAGAGACAGAGAAAGGAGACACAGGGAGGAAGGACAGCGATAGACCCATTAATTTTTCAAAGACTATGATTAGACTTGCCAAAGAGGCACTGAGGCAGGGGATCTGAGGGCACAGCAGTGCTTGGGTGGCAAACCAAAAGAAAGCAATTTGTCATTGATGTTTCTGAGCAGATGATTCTGTTTGTGGGCTGAATCAAGAGCGTGCACAACAGGTGGGGCTGATCCGTCAGAAAGCAGAACAAGAGAGCTGTTGATTACTGTTTGAGTCATGCCAATACGTGTGCATATGAAGTGTATCTTTCATATGGAAATTTTTGATGGCAAAAAGATGCACAACATCAGACTTGTATTGAATGGTCTAGTGTGGTTCCAGTTTTATAGAGGATGATGTTTTGGGAGGTTCCCTAAATGAGAAAATCTTTAAAATGGAGCCTTAAAGTGTCCATATTATGCTCATTTACAAGTTTACAATTTTATTTATGTAGTCTGCTAGAATACATTTGCATGATTTAAAGTTCAAAACCACATTACTTTTTCATACTTTATATTGCTGCAGCACCCTGCTTTTAAAATATCTGTTTTAGTTCCTTTCTGAAAAGCCCAGTATACTCTGATTGGTCAGCTGGCTGACTGGTCTGTTGTGATTGGGAAACCACTTAGAGCATTTGTCAGAAATGTAACGCCCCTTTATGGATCATCACGATGGCAGGACTACAAACAAGCATTTCAAGGCAACTTATCGATCATTTACTAGCTATATCACACACTGAAGGAAGGATAAATTTTTGATGGCAAAAAGATGCACAACATCAGACTTGTATTGAATGGTCTAGTGTGGTTCCAGTTTTATAGAGGATGATGTTTTGGGAGGTTCCCTAAATGAGAAAATCTTTAAAATGGAGCCTTAAAGTGTCCATATTATGCTCATTTACAAGTTTACAATTTTATTTATGTAGTCTGCTAGAATACATTTGCATGATTTAAAGTTCAAAACCACATTACCTTTTCATACTTTATATTGCTGCAGCACCCTGCTTTTAATTAAGATTTGTGTAGTACTTGTCATGTGTTACAAATTAAGTAGTTTAATATGTTCATGGAATATTGTTGTGATGAGAATGATAAAATAATGATAATGAGGGATCTATAGTCTTTGAAGTCCATCCTAAAATGACTGAAGGGCATGCAGGAAGTGGTCGTTGAAGCAGACCTCACTGTCTGGCTGGTATAGGCTATATTTGACAGGTTGCATCACTCGGTAACAGAGATGAGGTGGGAGTGGGATACAAAGCTTTGAGAAAAATCTAATTTGAATGTTTGGCTAACATGGGTCTTTACTCTAGACTTAAATAGGATATTTCACCCAAAATCGAAAATTGTCATCATTTACTCACCCTCATGTCATTCAAAACCTGTATGACTTACTGTATTCTGCGAAAAAGTCATATAAACATAATTGGAGTCCAGTGTTGCTTGGAACCCCACTGACATTCTATGTTTTACAGAATCAAGTAAGTCGTACAGATTTGGAACAACATGAGGTTAAGTAAATGATGACTGATAGACTGATAGTGTTCCGAGCACTGCACAGAAGGCTATTCCAAACTTTATGGTCCATATAGTGAAAAGGTCCTATTTCTTTTCTGAATTTTGATTATGGATATGTCAGTGGCAGTTATTTAAATTAAGCAACATCACAATCATGACTGCTGCTATCTATCTATCAATCAATCAATCAACCAATCAATCTCTTGTCTATGTAAAAGCTCTTTGAATTACCACTGTGTCTAAAATCTGCTACAGTATAAATAAACTTGCCTTGCCTAAGTTCATAATCAAATAACCTACATTTCAAATAAAATGTTCCTGGTAGAGGCAAATGTGTGAGCTGTACATTCTTTGCATTGTTTTTATTTATTTTTTTCTTTCGGGTCCAGGTCGGTCCAGTAGCATGTGTACAAAACCTGAAACTCATACTGTGTTTAATAAGAGCTTTTGATTTCCTGTGCATACCATAGATGCCAGTGCCCGGCTCAGTTTGAGGGACCCGAGTGCCAGCAGACAAAACACAGTTTCCATGGCAACGGCTATGCTTGGTTTCCCCCTATAAGGCCATGCTTCGAGAGCCACCTCTCGCTGGAGTTCATCACAGAGGTGGCAGATGGCTTGCTGCTCTACAGCGGACCCCTCTCCCAGCTTCAGCCGTGGGAGCCGGAGGACTTTATGGCCATAGGTAACCTACAAACACCCTCACCAGGTTGAAAGGCGAGGGAAGGGTATTGCGAATGAGCAGCAGCATTAAGGCAGAACATTGCTTCAGTTTCTACATCATTCTTTCATATCACAAGCTGAACCTCTGGCACATCTTCTCTCATCTCCCAGTAGCGCTACACATAGAGAGAGGGGAATGAAAATAGGTGTGATATGTTTATTTTAGACAGAAAGGGATGAAGAGACTCCTTCGTGTCTCTCCGACAGGATTTAGTGTTTCTAATAAAAAAAGTTTTATTGCTGTTACATTTTCTTACTCAGGGGAGATCTGCTATCCTCTAACAACCTAAACACAGAGAAGAAGATAAAAATACCACATTATTTCTGTTTGTTTGCGTATGTGTGTCATAAATTCCGGAGTATCGCTGCGCCGGTGGCTTGTGTGTGCAGCCGTATTAGCTCATTAGGGGTTAACGAAGGCACTTATTATATCACTAAAGGCTTATTTGTCATTCATCTGGGAGAATGATTACAATGGGGTATACACATTTAGAGCTTTAATGAACTCAGATCTGCCTACGTGCCGAGCATACGTTCATAAGAGAGCTTGTGCTCTTGATCGGTTCACTGATGTGTTGGCAAATGTGGATAAGTAGCAGATAAGGCCGTATGTGAGTGTTATCAGTGTAGGGTGAGATGCAGAACATATGGAGCGAACGAGAGAGGGATGGATGGCAGACGGCGGATCTGAGGTGAGAAAAAGAGAGTGACAGGGAGTGAAAGATGAAGATTAAGTGAAGGGTGCAACTGTGAATAGGGTTTCAAGGGGGCCTCAGAAACAAAGAGTGCTGAAGTGGTGGAGATCTGCCTGAGCTTCAGTTTTGGGTCAGTATTAAGGTGAGAGTGATAGTCTGATACCTCTTTTCAACCGTAGCAGTACTGCTGCTCAGTCAGGGATCTCTGAATATCTGTCATAACCGGTCCCTGATCCCATTGACTAGACTAGATGAATGATGACACACACTCTTACACCATGTCTACAGCGGCTGAGAGCGGTGCAATGCAACGTGACAAAAGCCAACAGAAACGGTTATGATCAGTGATTCCGTCACTGGATGTGACGCAACGAGAAGAGTCCCCAGTAGTAAACTGATGCCCCATTCTATTTATGACATATTGCAAACTCTTGCGCTACTTTTGGTTGTAAAATGGTTGCTTTGCACCGATCGCTTTATAACTGTCGCTTTCATGCGACAGTGTAGAACGCTTCAAGTGACAGCAATCAGTGTTAAAAATAGACACATTGTTAAAAATAAAGTGGGTTTTCGTAGCATTTCAATAGAAAAAACATTTTGGGTTTCCCAGAGAATCTTTCTGTGAACAGTTAATTCACTGTAAAAAAATGCAACTGCATATTTTCCAGCTTACGAAACCTTTTGAGTCTCAAATACTAAAAAATGCAGTTTTCTTGAAACTACATAAAAATCCTTATTAGACCAACAGAATTGAACATAAAAACCTTTGTCAGTCCCCAAATGTTGTCCCAACTAGTCAGAGTTGTCTGAACAAAGAATTTTATATTGCTGAAATGTTAAGGCTTTGTGAGTTCCCAGCATGCATTGCAGCATGAATAAATTAGCAAAACAATAACCCTATAACAGTATCTGCATGCTTACTGGCTTCATTTAAACTTTTTCGTTGTTGTTTTGTCATTAGTGCTACACTATAAATTCCAATTAGTAAACCTTACTTAAAAAAAGCATGCAAACCGATTGCCTTGAAAAAAAACAAGTAAAGTGAAATAAGAATAGTAATTTGTAATAAAGGTTTATTTAGTGTTGTAAACTTACACGCAAGTTCTGGTAACTCAGAATCACTATTTTCAACAACTAAATGAATAAGTACAATATACTATGTGTGTATTTCAAACAACTCTTTTATTTAAGTTGAGCCAACACATGTAACATTTCCTGCAACTTGGAATTTCTAAGTTGTATTTACTTAAACAGCAATCTGATTTACTTGCTAAAAGCATGCAAACCGATTGCCTTAAAAAAACCAAGTAAGCGTTACTCCACTAACTTAAGTGCTTCAAACATCCATTACAAATTACTGACAACAATGTTCCATTCATCACACACACATACAATTAGACATAAATTTAAGGTAGTGAAAGTTCAAAGTTAAAGGCAATGTCTTTTTTTTTGTTTTTCAGTGCAGTTTTAACTTGTATTACAAACATTTTGAAACAAAGCAAAAACAATCTGATTTAGGGTATGCTTCTTGTAAACAGTGGAGGTAGCAGTACAATGAATAAGTATGGCACTGGGTTGGCCGCACATGTTGCCAATGGGGTTTTTTTTTATTTATTTTTTTAATCACACTAAGTGTTCTTCACAGTATTAGGGTAATCCAAATGTACTGTACCAGTGATCCAAACATAGCACATGGCAGTCCGGAAGCAAATGGCTGAGGTAGACCCTGGAGACTGTTCTTTGCAGTACTACCCTGAACAATGATGGCAAAAGACACAGGGTCAAGGCAGAGAAGATTTGGAGAAGTACTTCATCT